TACACGGTGATTGACAGGTCTCTACCAGAGACGTATATGGAGTCTCTCCGTCACTCCTCCTCAGTCCACATATGGTCACTTCCTGTTTATTGGTTGCAAAAAAACAACAACATGGCAACGTCTGTAATCCAAGATGGCGACGGTGAAATCGCTAAACTCCAGGCTTCAAAACGGCAGTCCACAAACCAATGGGTAACGTCACGACGACTACGACCATTTCTCATATACAGTCTGTGGTTTTAAGCACTAAAAGTTATAAAGACTGCTGTATGTAGCAAACACCCTCCGTTAAAGGACAGCTGGTGAAGAAAGCGAAGCATTTAGCAGCTAAAGACATATTTCCCTCTGGAGTTGGTGGAGACCAAAAACGGAGCAAAAAGAGAGAATTGTGTTTTGAAATTCATCAGTTAGACACAAATAACTTCAACTGAATTAACATGTTCCGTGTCTGCTGGATGTGTAACAGGAAACTTGTATTATTGATGATAGTATGTGTTTGAAGCTTGTTCCGCTGCCCCCGAGGGGCCAATAAATAAATACAAAGTCTACGTTTAACTAGCAACTTTCACTGGAACACAACATCCACTTCTCTTTATACATCCCGTGCATATGCTTTGCAGACATTGGTGCATATTTAAAAATGTATTTGGGAACCACCACACAGCATACCCCCCGAGGCCCCCCCCCCCCCCCCGAGGGCCCGGAGCAGGTTAATCCGGCAATGATCATACAGATCATGTAAAAGCTACCTGACGATGTTTGTGTGTGAGACTATGAGGCATATTGTTCGGTATGTACAACGTGATAGCAGCAACTGGTTACTTTCTAGTGCCACGCTTAGTAGCTAACATGCTCGTCTCTACAGTCATAACTCTACGATGTTATACGCAGGTTATGCAGTTCATTCTGATTAATAAATCTACACATTGGATATTCTTACAACAAGGCACATTATCTCCTGAGTTTCCTAAGCACAATAACTGGTGGTGTTTCATGAAACAACCCCTGCTTTATTAATTAAGAGAGAATCTCAAGTTGTGTTGATCCATGATTGATACTGTAAAATATGTTTGCGTATGAAATGAAGTTATAGTTATCCAGGTGGTACTCGGGGCTCGATCTTTAACGAGAGCTCATAGAGGGTATCTTCATCCATCACCAGCGTCTTATCCAGGAGGAACTGCGTCACCTGGAGGGAGTCAGGACGGACACAATATTCTGTGTTAATATACAAATCACTGTACATACATTCACTTTCATGTTGCACAGATAATGCATTTTATTAGCCGCACCTTGGGTTGGTGCTCTATCCTGTACGGCGCTTGCTGGAACTGACGGATCTCCCGGATGATATGAGAGATCTGAGAGCGCAGAGACAGTTAACAGACAACTTAGTCAGCTGACCGTGAGCTCAAAGTTGACTTTGGCTGCTGTTGTTTTGGGTTTTGGAGGGACTTCTGTTCATGGGATTGGTTTAGCAAACAGTCAAATATCTAACCATCCTCATCTTGGAGAAGTTCACCAGGCCCTCCTCCGTGAAGTTGGGCGTCGCCTCCTCAATGAAAGCCAGGTCAGTGAGGTACATGCCCAGGTACGGGACACATGGAGGGTTACAGCTGCCCACACACACACAGAGAACAAACATTACATTAGCGTTAAGGACTGGATTTACTTTGACTCTGGCAACGAGCAGTATTTACTTCTTCAGCGTCTCTCTGAGATTCTTGAACCTCCCTTCTGATGACACCGTCTTCTGCAGCCGGTCCATCAGAGCCTTTGTCTGTAAGAAAACCACAAAGAATCACAAATGTTTTGTGCAGAGAGTAGCTTTTACTTCTAACAACTCGTTAATTCAAACCTGTTTGCAGACTTTGGCCCACGTCTTCTTCAGCCTGAAGATGGCGCTGCGGTTGAGCGCGGAGGTGATCTCCAGCACTCCGTTGTAGTTGTTGAGGCAGCGGCAGATATCGGCCACCGCCAGCCACTTCTCTATGGAGCTGGCCCTGGAGCCCACGTCGGTGTGGGTCATGATCTGAGACGCCACCAGGTTACTCATCTGTGGAGGGAAAACATTCAGCAAATACTCTACACTCAGTTTATTAGGTACACCGAGTTACCTTCACCATTCAGATAGTGCTGCTGTGGGTGTTATTATTATTTTTGTCCATCTACAAGACGTAGTATAACTATTTCTATGTTTTTAATGTTTATTCTCCCCTCATTTGATACAAACAAGGTTGACAAAAGTTCTCGGTATAATGCTCCAAAGCAAACTATAACGATGATTTGATGCAGAGCTGCAACTAATTATTATTTTCATTGTCAATTAATCTGCTGATTATTATTTGATTAATTGATTTTTACCCTTTTATCTATAACATATCAGAAATGAAATATGAGATATATCCAAAGAGTCCAATCACCAAACATATTGAATGTATCATCATATACAACAAGCAAAAGCATCGTATAAACACATTTGTAAACATTAAAATCTTGATTGTTTTAGCTTGAAAACATTTTTTAATCAACTATCAGTAAATAAATAAACGTTCTTCTTCATGTTTCACACGGGACTCAAACAGCGACCGACTGGGTGAAAGTCCTCCCTGCACTGCGTTTGTCCCTCTTTATACTTCCTGGTTCACAATCACGTGGATCACATCCTGATTGATTTTGTGGTGTATATATATATATAAAAAACACATATTTCGTAAGTATAGCGTATACTGAGTATGAGAACAAGATGGAGAATCTGGCCTTACGTCATTGAAGTGCTGGCTGGTCTTCATGATGTACGGAGTCCTCTCCGTCTTGTCGACTTTCATCCAGCCCTGCCCGAGGAACTCTCTGCAGGAGCACAACACCATCAAGTCTTCAGTCTACTGTGGTGGAAAGTAACTTTTAAGTTTGTGTATTTCTACTTCATGCTCCTTAAAGTCAGACCTTTTACGCCACTACATCTAGAGTTACTTTTCACTTTGCAGGAATGGACTTTTCCTCTCAAACATTTAACTCTGAGCCACAAAACCTGTGGGTGGGATGGAAAAGCATGATGTTGTTAAACAATCGGCAAAATTACACCGATCATCAGACCCAGACGCTGTAAAGACTCTCATAATATGCAGATTTTCATCTTTCCGATGATCTTTGAACACACCATGTGTCACGAACGCTTCCTTCAGAAAATGCAAACAAAACTAAGCTTAAAATAATGATATTTAATCAAAAACATTTTATTCTACATGTTTCATTTAAAATGTCGCCTCAAATAAACCGTTCAGAGGGTTGAACATAAAATATGATGTATCGTTGTATAGAATATAAAGTAGTACTATATACAAGTACATTCTGCCGATAATATTTTTCTTATAAAGTAGTAAAATGGCTGACATAGCAGTATTATTGTGGGATTGATTTGCAAAAACACGCAAGCCGTGATGACGTCAGCTGCAGACATACGAGGTGAACATTGTACTGCATGAAGTACTCACTCGTAGAGAATACTCCTGAACACGATGTGGTCCAGCAGTGTGATCTGCTCTGCCAGCTCCATCGCTGAGAGAGACTCGAAACACTCGGCTTTCGGACTCTCCGCCTGGAAACAGGAGTGTAGTAGGACATCATTTAAAAAATTTAAATTAAATCTGATTTGAAGAACTAGAGTACTAGTACACTGACTAAGTTCCTCATACTTGGAGTCCACCTATGACTTTGAATTCACCACCATACACAGTAACTACTGTACTGGGAGTAACATCACTCTTACCACAATGAAGTGAAGGAGGGGACAGCTTTTCTGGAGATAAATTTTTTAAACAATCGCTTAAAAATTGTACTCGGAAGAAATGAATCTAAGTACTTCGTGGTACTAATAGGTGGTAATACTGACCATCTGTAATATGTCCTCTATCTTCAGTTGAGCGTCGTCTTGTTCTTCTTGAGAAAGGGCACTGAAGAGTACAACAGACCGTTACAACATGTGTGCATAGTACTACTGCAGTACTGTAGTAGTACTAGTGGTGGAACGGAACCAAGTACATCTACTCAAGTACTCGTTTGTGGAACTTTTCCATGTTATGCAGTTTTCTACTTCTCCTCTACATCTCAGAGGTACATATTGTACTTTTTACTGTACTACATCTCA